TATAAAATTGTCACATCTCGTTTAATATTCAAAATAGCTGAAGTCTCCATCTTGTTATTACGATAATGTCTTTCTACCTTACCAGGTTCTCCCCATCCATCTTCTACCGCCCCGCCCCCTCCCCGCCCCCGTGATCACACTGAGCACCCCAGGGGTTACTCAAGGCCAGGGACACGCGACCCTGAGTACACGCTGCACACGCAGGAAAGAAAGAGAGCAGGACATCCCGGGCTCCGCGGCTGTAGTTGCTCTTGTGGCCACAAGGTGGCACTGATTCTTTGGCGGCCGCAGCTGTTCCCGACCTTGGGAAGCAGCCGGGAGGTGGGGCTGGAAGGAAGCGCGCACTCCCGAGAGGCTGCTGGTGGGGCTTCACTTGCAGCCCTGCTCTTGCGCAGCGGGCACCACAGGAAGAAGACAGGATTGGAGATCTGGGTCCAGTCTCTTCCCCTGGAGCCTCTCCACGGCTCGCTCCATTCGGAGGCCTCCCTCTCTCCCAGTGTCCAGCCCTATCCTGACAGCTCCCTCTCTCCTTAGGCCTGAGCTCTTCGCACTCGGCAATCCTGCTACCTAAACCCTCCAGTCTTCGCGCCCTCCCCCAGGCGCACTTTCAGAATCACAGTGGCTGAAGCCGAGGGGCCCCCGCGCAGGTGCACACACTCTGAGCCGCCTTAGCTCCGCCCATTCTTCTCCAGGGCTTTTCTCCCCGACCCCAGAGTGCAGGAAATACTCTCCCTCTTTCTTCTTCTCGCAGAAGGAATGGTGCTTCCTTCAAGGTGCAGACCCCCTCAGTTTACCAGAAAAGTGACTGAGCATTCTCCCTCCTAAAAAACTGGGAGGGTAGACTATCAGAAGCACAGATGGAAGGGTCAGACTTTGAAAGGAGGAAGGATAGGTACCTCTTCTTCCGAAATAGAGAAGGAGGTTGGACATGTAGAAATAAAAATGCTTTTGCAGGGAAGGGAATTTGGGAGGCCTGTGGCCAGTTTTCCTCCATATTTTTATTATGAAGTAGATACAGATGTCATATCTAAAGATGAGAAAGAGAATATTAAGGGTGAGGCACATTCGTAATGGGAAAGAGAATTACAGAGGGAGAGGCCAGTCAGCTGAGCCTTGTGCAAAGGTTAGTGTGATCTTGGAAACCAATCTTGGACTCGTCTATGTATTTAAGAGATATTTATTGAGCATCTACTGTGTGCTAACAGTTTCAAGGGGTGAGAATACATCAGTGAACAAAACAGAAAAAAAATTCCCTGCCTTTGGAAAA